GGAGTGATCCTGGGCCTGGGATTGGGGTCGAGATTGATCCTGGGCCTCGGATTGGGTCCAGGAGTGATCCTGGGCTTTGGCCTAGAATGGGGGCTGGGCCTAGGAGTGAGCCTAGGCTTGGCATCTGGCCAGAGCTTAAGATGGGACCTGGGCCTGGGATCTGGGCTGGGTCTGGGCTGTGGCCTGGCATCCAGGCTGGGATCTGAGCTGGGGCTGAGATTGGGCCTGGAATTGGGGCTAGGATTGGGCCTGGGAACTGGGCTGGGCCTGGGATGGGGCCCGGGATCCGGCCTGGGATCTGAGCTGGGGCTGAGATTGGGCCACGGAGTGGGGCTGGGATCGGGCCGGGGCCTGGACCCGGGCCAGCCAGGAAGCCACTCAGCGCGCCTCGCTCAGGACCGCCCCAGGCCTGGTGGAGGCTGTAGGTCGTGGGTTTTCCTGCTGGGAGGATTCCCGAGGGGCCCGGCTGAGGGGACATCCAGGAATCCCAGCCCTGCGGGAACTCAGGACCCCCAGGGGCGGAGGCAGCGCCTGCAGGGTCTGGGGGCGCAGCCCGGGCTCCGCGGCCTCTCCGCCCTGGGCCGCTCTGGGGCTGCTTCTGGAGCCGCCGCTCCCGGGCTAGTTTGGCGCGACGATTCTTGAACCACACCTAGGGGGAGAGGGGACAGGGAGGGGGTGTGAAGGAGAGGTTCGTGCATCACCTCGGCCCAGGTGAGCGGTTGGGGGGGGAGGGCTGGCCTCAAGCCTCGCCCTGAGCTCACCCCCCACACCCCACTCCCCGCCATAGGAGGGCCACGAGAAGGGAGGGGAGAGTGAGGGAAAAGGAGTAAGAGGCGGGTGGGGTGGGGGAGGAGCGGACCTGCCGCCCAGGAGCCCTGGGTCCAGGGAGGGTTCCGGGGGAGGGGCCCTGGGGGTTCTCAGGGGGCCTGAGGTCTGGGCACCGGGAGACTCCGTGGGGCACAGCCTGGGCCGATCACGTGGGCAGGTTTGGGCCCGCACAGAGTTGGAGCAGGTCTCGGGGTGCAGCCCTGGTCTGTCCTGGTGGGAGGTGGCCGGTTGTGCCAGACCCCAGTGACAGCGGTGGGGAGACTTAGTGGGGTGACTGGGGCGGGGCGGGGTGGGGCTGGGGTCAGACCTGCACTTGGTGCTCCTCGAGGTCGAGTTTCTGCGCCAGCTCCAGTCGCTCGTCAAAGGTCGGGTACTGCTTCTCCTGAAAGCAAGCTTCTAGCTCTTCCTGCTGGCTGCGAGTGTAGACCGTGCGCTCCTGCCGCTGTCTCCTTGGAGGGTTTTGGTTCAGGGGACGGCCCTGGGCCGGGGGAGGTCCTGGGAGCAGGAGGGAAACAGGGTCAGAGAAGCCCCCAGGCAACCCGCCCCGCCCCCCACCCCCCCCCCCACCCCCCCCCCCCCAGAAACCCGGTCCCCTGCGCCCGGCGAGAAGCCCAGGCGGTCTGGCTGGGGCAGCGCTGGAATAGCAGCCTGAGGTCCGGACCAGACCTTGCACCACTCTGGGCCTCAGGGTCCACATCTTGGCAATGGGCGTGATAACAGCCCCTGTATTATTCGGGACCCCACAGAGGGGAAGGCAAGCAGCCTGGGCGCCTCACCCGGAGCAGAGGGGCTGCCTCCGGCCTGCTCAGCCCTCCCCAGCTGCCCGTCTCCTCCCACCCAAGGGCTCTAGGGACCCTGACACCCGAAGGCCACCGCCACCTGCCCCATCCTCTGCTCCACTCAGTTGCACGATTTAATTTCTTTCCTTCGGTCTTTTTTCTGGAGAGGGGATCTTGTTCTGTCACCCAGGCTGGAGTGCAGTGACGTGACCACGGGTCAAGGCAGCCTCCACCTCCTGGGCTTAAGCAATCCCCGGGCTCAGTCTCCCGAGTAGCTGGGACCACGGGTGTGCACCACCACCCCTGGGTAATTTTTGTATTTTTGGTAGAGACGGGTCTCACTCTGTTGGCCAGGCTGGTTTCAGAATCCTGGGCTCAAGTGATCCTCCCGCCTTGGCCTCCTAAAGAGCTGGGGTCACTGGCGTGAGCCGCTACTCCCGGCTGCACCATTTGATTCCATTTCCCAAAGGTCATGAAGTCCTCCTCCATCTGCAGGGCAGGAAGCCACCCGCACAGCCCCAGCCCTTCTCTGGATGCCCAGATCTGCACTCTGCAGCCCCTGACACAGGATCGGCCCAGGCCCCTCACAGCACTGTCCCGGCTCACCTTGGGGATCCCTAGGGTCTTGCATCCTGAGTCCTGCTCTGTTCCCAAACACAAGTGTGCACTGACATAAGTCTGGCTGTTAAGTCACTTTTATGCTGTGCCCACCCTGCCCTGCCCCGCCCTGCTGGGACCCTCCCTTCCCACCCTGCCCTGCAGTCCCGCCTCCTGGAGGAGTTGAATGACAGATTAATTTTTCTTTTTTTCTTTTAGATGGAGTCTTGCTGTGTTGCCCAGGCTGGAGTGCAATGGTGTGGTCTCAGCTCATTGCAACCTCCATCTCCTGGGTTCAAGCCTCCTGCCTCAGCTTTCCAAGTAACTGGGATTACAGGTGCCCACCACCATGCTGGGATAATTTTTTGTATTTTTAGTAGAGGTGGGGGTTTCACCAGGTTGGCCAGGCTGGTCTTGAACTCCTGACCTTGTGATCCACCCGCCTCGGACTCCCAAAATGCTGGGATTACAGGCGTGAGCCACCACAACCGGCTGGATTAACTTTTCATCACTGATCAGGTACTGCCTGCTGAGCTGGGCTGGGAGCTGGGGAACCTCAGTGGCTGACACTGCCTTGGCTTCACCCTCACGGGCCCTAGCCCAGGCGAGAGGGCATTCCACACGGGGTGGGGGGAATCAGCATCATGACCCTTGGTTGGGGTCCCCATCTCAGGAGAGGCACCACCAGCCACCCAGCCCCCAGGAGTCATCCTGGTTCCTTCCCAGGGCCGGGGCCCCACAGGACCAATGCCAGCGAGTCTACCCACTCTCCCGGCTCCCAGGCTGCCCGCCTTGTCCTGCCACCATCCCTCCCTCCTGGATGACCCCACAGCCTCCTCTTTGGTCCCTCGAGGCCACTCTGGCCATGACTATCCATTCAAAAAATTGTCCCCAGGTGCCTGGGCGTCAGGACAGCTCAGTACACACCGGCCCTGCTGATATGGGTTGGTTTCTCTAGTGGATTTGCGAAGACCTTCATGGGGCGAAGGTCTGATGGGCATTCACACAGACCTGTGCTGGTTTCTCCTGCTGAGTAAATCACCTTGGTGCTGGTTTATTCCAGTTTATGTAAGGGGCTGGTGAGCTGGGTTCACATGATCCCAGCCTCTCCGAGCTGCACAGACCTGTATCAGGAGAGGGCACAGGTCTGATGGATGTTCCCGTGGGCCGCTGTTGATCTGCCCTTGTGAGTGAATGAACCCACTGCTGATGACACAGGGGACCCATGACCTTGGTCCACACAAGTCGGGTCCCTCAGAGATGCATCTTCTCTGTCAGACACCTGGCTGCCCTCATCTCTCTGTGGCGGGACCCACGTGGGTTCAGGGGCCAGATAGATTGACAAAGCTCATGGTGCAGGGAACTAGAAATGGCTGGTGCAAACAATTTCAAAACTCAATCAAGGCCGGGCGCGGTGGTTCACGCCTGTAATCCCAGCAGTTTGGGAAGCCGAGGTGGGTGGATCACGAGGTCAAGAGATCGAGACCATCCTGGTCAACATGGTGAAACCCCATCTCTATTAAAAATACAAAAAATTAGCTGGGCATGGTGGCGCGTGCCTGTAATCCCAGCTACTCAGGAGGCTGAGGCAGGAGAATTGCCTGAACCCAGGAGGTGGAGGTTGCGGTGAGCCGAGATTGCGCCATTGCACTCCAGCCTGGGCAACAAGAGCGAAGCTCCGACTCAAAAAAAAAAACAAAAAAAACAAAAAAACTCAATCAAATGAAGACATTGTTCCCACAGCCTTGCTCATTGTCTTCACCAGCTGCTTAGAGTGCTGTCGTAGAAATCCTCATCCCCAGCAACGACTCCCCATTGCACAACTGTCCCGCTTCACCCACGGGACGTGCTGGGAACGCAGTGGTTTCCACGGAGATTTTGCACCGTGGCTGTTCTTTGGCCAATAAAGGCAGAAACAGGTGAATAAGCTCACTGGTACTATTTTGTGAAGACCGACATTTAAATATAAGCAAGTTCATAGCCGCATGATTCACGATCGCCCAAAAGGAAAAAACACGGAAACCTGGATCCACCAAGGCATGGATAAACAAAACGCCGCATGGCCTGGCGGGGTGGCTCACGCCTGTAATCCCAGCACTTTGGGAGGCTGACGTGAGTGGATCACCTGAGGTCGGGAGTTCAAGACCAGCCTGGTCAACATGCCAAAACTCTGTCTCTACTAAAAATACAAAAATTAGCCAGGCATGGTAACACACACTGGTAATTTCAGCTACTTGGGAGGCTGAGGCAGGGGAAGTGCTTGAACCTGGGAGGTGGAGGCTACAGGGAGGCGGGATAGTGCCACTGCACTCCAGCCTGGACAGCAGAACAAGACTCCATCTCAAAATAAATAAATAAGAAAATAAAAATAATAAATAAATAAAATAATAAAATAAAAATGACTGGACGTGGTGGCTCACGCCTGTAATCCCAGCACTTAGGGAGGCGGAGGTGGGCAAATCGCTTGAGGTCAGAAGTTCGAGGCCAGCCTGGTCAACATGGTGAAACCCTGTCTCTACTAAAAATAGAAAAAAATTAGCCGAGCGTGGTGGCAGGAGCCCGCGATCCCAGCTACTTGGCAGGCTGAGGCAGGAGAATCACTCGAACCCGGGAGGCAGAGGTTGCAGGGAGCTGAGATTGTGCCACTGCACTCCAGCCTGGGTGACACAGGGAGACTCCATCTCAAAAAACAAAACGTAACAATCCCCCACCAAAATAACCCCACAAAAAATAAAAACCCAAAACGTCGTATATCCACACCGTGGGATATTACGCAACCATGAAAAGGAATAAAGCCGGCACGCGTGCTACAACATGAAGCCACCTCGCCAACACGATGCTGAGTGAAAGAAGCCAGACACAAAGGCCACATGTTATGTGATGCTATTTATACAAAGTGTCCAGAATAGGCAAAGCCATAGAGACAGAAAGCAGATTAGTGGTTGCGAGGGGTTGGGGAGAAGGGAAAATTGGGACCATCTGGGAATAGCTATGGAATTTTTCTTGAGGGTGGTGAAAACTGTCCTAAAATTGATTATAGTGTTAGAGGCACAACTCTGCAAGTACACTAAAAACCAGTTATTTTATTTTTAATTTTATTTTTTGAGATGGAGTCTTGCTCTCTTGCCCAGGCTGGAGTGCAGTAGTGGCGTGATCTTGGCTCACTGTAACCTCTGCCTCCTGGGTTCAAACAATTATCCTGCCCCAGCCTCTGGAGTAACTGGGATCACAGGTGCCCGCCACTACACCCGGCTAAATTTTTTTTTTCTGTGTGTGTTTTTAGTAGAGATGGTGGTTTCACTATGTTGGCCAGGCTGGCCTTGAACTCCTGACCTCAAGTGATTTGCACACCTTGGCCTCCCAAAGTGCTGGGATTACAGGTGTGAGCCAGCATGCCTGGCCTCAATGATTTATTGTAAGAGACTTATTCTGGGAAAGGCCGGGCTCAGTGGCTCACACCTGTAATCCCAGCACTTTGGGAGGCTGAGGTGGGTGGATCACCTGAGGTCAGCAGTTGGAGACCAGCCTGACCAACATGGTGAAACACCGTCTCTACTAAAAATACAAAAATTGGCCAGTGTGGTGGCTGGTGCCTGTAATCCCAGGTACTCGGACAGCTGAGGTGGGAGAATCACTTGAACCCAGGAGGCGGAGATTGCAGTGAGCCAAGATTGAGCCATTGCACTCCAGCTGGGCAACAAGAGTGAAATGCTCCTCTCAAAAAAAAAAAAAAAAGAGAGACTTGTCCTGGGAAAATACTTGCTCCTCTGTGAATAAGCACAGATATGAGTGTTCAGTGTAGCATTTCTTTGAAATATCAGCTGAGTTAATTAGATTAACTCACACCCACAAATTAGAAGATGATTAAATAATTGTGGCAACCTCAGACTACAGAATGCTAATAAAAGTTTAAAAAAAGGAATGAAGTGGTAACCTGTTAGTAACAAATAATGATTTTAAATTTATTTTTTGTTTTGTTTGCCTGGTGGATGTCTGCTTGCCGCGTCCTGAAATAAATGTGTCTTGAACACAGAGACATTGGTAGGCTTTTTATTTTTCTCTGGAATCCCCATGTCTACAACAGGAAAAGCTTGAAGCTGCTCACTAATGATGTACTAAATGATTGAGTTTGCGTTTTCCGTATCCAATGCTGCCTCAGGCACAGCATGTATACATTTAATAAGCTCATATAAAAAATATATATACATATGTAATATACATATATTATATGTACATTTTTCTTTTCTTTCTTTTGTTTTTGGAGATAGGGTCTCGCTCTGTCACCCAGGCTGGGGTGCAGTGGCGGGATCTTGGCTCACTGCAGCCTCTGCTTCTTGGGCTCAAGCCATCCGCCCACCTCAGCCTCCCAGGTAGCTGGGACAACAGGCACATGCCACCACGCCTGGCTAATTTTTGTATTTTTTTTTTTTTGAGATGAAGTTTCACTCTTGTTGCCCAGGCTGGAGTGCAGTGGTGCAATCTCGGCTCACCGCAGCCTTTGCCTCCCGGGTTCAAGTGATTCTCCTGCCTCAGCCTCCCGAGTAGCTGTGTTACAGGCATGCGCCACCACGCCCGGCTAATTTTGTATTTTTAGTAGAGACAGGGTTTCTACATGTTGGTCAGGCTGGTCTCAAAGTCCTGACCTCAGGTTATCCGCCCACTTCGGCCTCCCAAAGTGCTGGATTACAGGCGTAAGCCACCGTGCCCGGCCTCTTTTCTCTATTTTCTACTGCTTATAATTATTTTTTAATGTACAAGCTGGAAAACAAGAAGCATTTCTGGCCTTGAGTGCCACCCCAGGGCACGTCAACACCCTGCCCCTCCTGTGCCTTCTCTTGTCCTGACATGTCTTCAGGGTTGGATAGAATTTCTGGAGATTCCTCCTGGGGCTCCCCAGGCAATGGCCGAATTCCCAGAGTCACCTGGATGGAGGGAGGTCTTCTAGGGCCTGGGGCAAAAGCGACGTAGGTGGCAATGAAGTTGGTGGAAAAGTGTGAAGAAGGGATTATGGAATCCATTCTTGGCCAGGTGCAGTGACTCATACCTGTAATCCCAGCACTTTGGGAGTCTGAGGCGGGTGGATCACCTGAGTCAGGAGTTCAAGACCAGCCTGGCCAACATGGTGAAACTCTGTCTGTACTAGAAATACAAAAATTAGCTGGGTGTGATGGTGGGTGCTTGTAATCCCAGCTACTCAGGGAGAATTGCTTGAACCTGGGAGGCAGAGGCTGCAGTGAGCCGAGATTGTGCCACTACGTTCCTGCCTGGGTGACAGAGTGAGACACTGTCTCAAAAAAAAAAAAAAAAAAAAAAAAAACCCAAAAAAAAACAACAAAAAAAAAACACCCCCAAAATTAGCCAGCATAGTGACGTGTGCCTATATTCCCAGCTATTTGGGAGGCTGAGGTGGGAGACTCGCTGGAGCTTGGGAGGTTGAGGTTGCAATGAGCTGTGATTTCCCCACCACACTCCAGCCTGGGCAACGGGGTGAGACCCTGTCTCAAAAAACAAACAACCCCCCCCCAAACTCCACCTCCCAAAACACACACACAGAAAACCCAAAAAGCCACATGCCAAGAATTAATAAATAACGCTGGTTGAGAAAATCGGGCCCTTGTAGAGAGGAATGTTCCAGAATTACAGGCAGAGGCACTAGGTGTTCCGGTGACTGGCAGCGAGAGCTGAGTTGGAAGAACACTTTCCAGGCGCCGGGAGCAAGACCGCTCAGCCTCCAGGTGCCCTCTCCACCCTCGATGTCCCCCCACCCTGCCCCTCTATCTCCCCCTTTCTCTGTTCCTCAGTTTCCCCTCCTTGTTGCTTCTTGTGTTGTCCCAGTGTGTGAGTTGCTGTGTGCCTACCCCTTCCAGGGTCTGACAGGCAGAAGGAGTTTTCATTATATCCTGGAAGTCTGCCCCCCACTCCCTCCCCCCAAATCGGATCTAATTCTTTCTGCTCTGCTGAGGCTGGCCTGGTCTAAGA